AGGAGGCCAGAATCCAAAAGGTGAGCTCTTCCCCGACCTCTCCCTCAGAGCCAGCTAGACTGGGACGCCCCACTTACTCAGCTCGGAGATGCTTCCCACGCAGGTGGCCAGGAGGGACTGCTCCAGGGTCCGGAGCTCCAGCTGGGCATATGCATCGGCTCGCTCATCGTGGCCCAGGGACCCGCCATTGTAAGGACTGAAGTACGCAGGGAGAGAGAGGACGCCTGTGGGGAAATAGGCAGACAGGTAAGTTCAGGATGGAAGCAAAGGTCCTTCCTGGGGTTGGGGGTGGGGTGTGGGGTCAGTGGGCAAATCTCAAAGCTGCACTTGAGGATATCTGACTTCTACAAAAGCCAGAACGAGGAGGGGCCCCCTTATAGAGGTAGTTTCTTGGCACTGGCCTCTACAAGCTCATGGGCCATTCGGGAATTCATTCACTCCTGCACTTCTCCATTCACTGGATATTTACAACGCCTCCCTCGGCCCAGGCATTGTGCTCCATTCAGGATGATGGGGTGACGAAGAGACCTGGCTTTGCCTTCATGGACCTCAGGGGACGTAAATGTCCACCATGCCCACCCAAAGGGTGGGATCACCACCACCGCCCCCCCCACCCCCCGAGTCCTCTCACGTCCTCATACTGCCCCCTTTCCTTCTTCCTGCCAAGAAGGGGACGAGGACAAACCACAGTGTAGGAGATGCTGTCTTCTCCACTCCAAGGAGGGGAAACATCCCAGCCACTGGCCAAGTTCAATTAGTGTTTTTCATTAGCACTTCAGCACCAGAGGGGAAGAGCCGTCAAAATCAATCCCAGCGGGTAACAGTCTGTACATTTCTCCAACTCACTGTGTGGCTTCTTAGAAAGCACGAGAAAAGCACGATCAGACTGGCTTAAAATTACATGTTGGTTCTCAAGAGCATGTGGCCACAGAGATTCCCAGCCTTTGGTAACTGCTGTTCCTGTGATCAATGCATCTTTGTCCAATAGCCCCCTGCACTTTTTTTTTTCTTTTTTCTTTTTTTTTTTAAAGAAAAATACCCACAGGACCGTAATCAGTCACTTTGGGGAATATCTCTTAAAATGCCTTGAGATAGCTGGAGAGCCCCTGGGATGTGGCCAAATCTGGGTTAGAATTCCCTGTCCCGCACACGGAAATGTAATGAGGATGGTGACTGCTATAGACGGCGAGCAGCGCGGTGAAGACGGGGCCTTGGAGCTGGGACGTTTGGGCTCCCGAATCTGGCTCTGTCACTTAACCAGCGGTGTGATCTCAGGCCACTTACTGCACTTCTCTGTGCCTCAGAGTCCTTGCGTGTTAAGCGCAGATAAGGAGAGCACCTCCCTCATTGTGTGGCTGTGAGGACTGATGAACTATTGGATGTCAATGTTGCACCAGCGTGTGGCTCAGAGGAAATGCTCTGTTGGGGGCTGTCGCTCTCATTTTTGCTACATGCTGGGAATGTAGGCTTAATTTTCACCTTCTAATTTATTCTTTCTAGGGGCCCCTGGGTGGCTCAGTCGGTTAAGCGTCCGACTTCGG